AACCTAAGATCTAAAGGTCTGATTACAGGCTCTGGCTCCAGAGTTGTTTAAATCTAAGGTCAGCATGTAAAATGGCAGACTGCTGATGACTCCAGATCAATCAGTAGGCCTCTGGCTTGCTCATGGTTTAAAGAACTGGAGGTCTTTAAAAGATCCAGATGGAGGATACAGACTGAGCAAAAACCAGCATTTTTCCAGTTTCACATAAGCCTGATGAAACTCCCTTTCAACTGATTTTCTTCAGATAGCAGATTTCATCATGCAAGTGATATGCAGTATATTAGAGTTTAGCATGGGGTATAACTATATCATAACTGCTAGGCCCTTGGAAATCCTGGCTCATTCAAATTGACACACAATCTTATCACATATAATAATCTTTTGTGTGTATTTACCATTAACTATTTATCCTTTGATCTGTTCATGAACAATTAAATTGTTTTTGTATTTTTGGTACTATATATAGTGTTACAATGAACATGAGTATGCATATATCAATTTACATGAGGGCTATTATTTTGTAGGATGTACACTTAGTAAAATAAGGGGCTTTGGTAGCTTTGTGGTTACGAGTCAGGCTGCCAACCTCAAGGTCAGCAGTTCAGTTCAAAACAACCAGCAGTTTCGTGGGAGAAAGATGAGGTGTTCTGCTCCCATAAATATTACAGCCTCAGAAACACTGTGCAGGGTAACTATGAGTTGGAATCCACTCCACAGTACTTAACAACAACAACAAAGCTTAGTAATGGGTTTGCTTGTTGTTGTTGTTAGGTGCCATCAAGTCGGTACTGACCCATAGCAACCTTATGCACAGCAGAAGGAAACCCTGCATGATCTTGAGCCAACCTCATTATTCTTGCCACGCTTGAGTCCATCGATGCTGCCACTTGGGTGTCTTCCTCTTTTCTTCTGACACTCCACTGTACCAAACATTGTATCCTTCTCCAGTGACTGGTCCCTCCTGACAATATGTCCAAAGTATAAGAGGCAAAGTTGGTCATCTTGGCCTCTAAGGAGCATTCTGGCTGCACTTCTTCCAAAACA